TCAAAAAATAAGCTTTATATTATACTTGTGTTAGAAACAGGAAAACAAATTCTTATAGGAGAGTTTTAAAAAAATACTAATCTACCTACCCTCTGCCCCCAAAGTTCATGGCAAATATAGAAGGAAAAATTTACTTGCAACATCATATTTTCTGAGTTATTAGCACTTTCTTAAGGTAGGCATGTAGTTTTTAAAAACCTGTTTTAAAAAATTATAATTAACACAAATATTGGAGAATAAGTTTCAGTTCCAGGAAATACAGACATTTCAGAGAGATCTTATGTTTCATTCACTGAATATCAGAATACTTGGAAAGAGTCAACATTCATTATTTTTTAAAAATCATAAATTTAATCTTACTAAGGACTTTGTTCCTGTCTGACTAGGGAATCAGCAAAAGTTTGTTTTGACCTCATTGGGTTTCATTGGATTGATGGGGGGACTTTTCTGGGTGTAGAATCAGTTCCTGAGCCATGGGGCTCTTAGTCCTGTGAATTACATGCATGGAAAACACTAACTCAAAATAGGTTTATGCCACACCAAGCATTCACAATGGCATAGCAGAACTATAGAGCAGCCTCCTGTATTCATTTCCTCATACAGCATTGAAGGACATAGTGTTGTGTTCTAGGTGGAAGAGGAGTTTTTCCTCTGGGAAGAAAGACATCTGATTTCCAGACAAAATGGCTGGTGTCACGTTCCATATGCACAAGCCAGTAGGCCAAACCAGATGCTTGTTCAGATGAAAAGGAGAGGAGGAAATTTTATATAAACTATGTCTTTGAATGTTTTCAAGAAGAATAATGCCAGACCCAAATAGCACATTGGATAATTCAAGGCTGCATATATTCTGATAGACAAGAGGACTGAAGGATTGAGTTGGGACTGACCTTATCATGGTCCCTGTAAACCTGTGTCTAAGTATAGAGTGGGGGTTAGGGGGAATATCTTAGCTCTGCCTCTTTCTTGTACTCAGAGGGCTCATGAGACTGAATGGATGGAGGGAAATAGAATGGCCTGTGTTCAGCTTTGTGCTAGCCTCACAATAATTCACACCTGGCTCAGCCTCACTCTAGAATTGGTCCTATTTTTCACCCACCCAGTCATAAATACTTCTCCAAACTGGTTTGGATCTAATATTCCATGGTGATGGTATCTTGAATATGAACCTGCTTTGGATGAATCATCATTCCTAATTGGGTTGGTCCAACACCCCAAGTTTTCTAAGAAGTAAGATCAGTAGCTTTCCAATTCAGTTAACTCTCCATTTCTGTTAACTCTCCATTTCTTTTTTAATAAATAAATAAATAAATAAGCAAACAAATAAATATGTTAACTCTCCATTTCTATCAGGGCAGAACATGTTTCTACAGATGACAATTTGGTTGGTAATTCTGCTTACATTTCTGATCATGATGATATCCCCTATCATATATGTCCATGTTACAACACGAATCAAGGGAAAACGACAAGGTAAGTTGGTTTGAAGAGTATGAGAGACAAAGTGAGAGAACTAAAGATGCATGACCTTTTATTCCCTAGTCTGTCTTCTCAGTACATTCTAAATTCTTGGGTGATTATTTATACATGCTGCACTCATTCCTTTCTCCTATATATTTTTCTCTTGTTGGTGGAGCTGCTTTCAGTGCTATTTATCTGAAAGCCTGAGCATATTTTTTTCCTATTAGATTATTATAATGATCTAATAGGAACATACTATTTAGGTTCATATTCACAAAATAACACCTTCAAAGAATTTGATTTAAATCCCCATTTCCTGTTTCCTCCCGCCCCCAATTTTCTCCACTCTCTTCTATTGATCTTCCTTTACTCCATTATTTATTTATTTTTATTGGAATTTTCTACATATACATACATGCAGGTAAAAATCTTTTTTTATAAAAAACATCATTTACATATGTATATAACATTATATAGTTAAATTCATTATATATTTCTACCCTATTTCCTTCTTTCCTCCCTCCTTCTCATTCTTCTTCTACCTTATATCTTTATGATATACTGTCTCCTCCCCTGCCATCTTCTTTCCCTATTTTGATTTAGCTTCCACCTATGAGAGAAAATATTTAGCTCTTGATTTTCTTAGACTGCTTTATCTTATTTAGCATGATGTTCTCCATTTTCACTTATTTGCCCATAATGCCATTATTTTATTTATCTTTATGACTGAGTAAACTCCCGTGTGTGTGTGTGTGTGTGTGTGTGTGTGTGTGTGTGTATCAAATTTTCTTGATCCATTCATTTGTTGATGGGCATCTAGGTTGATTTCATGATTCAGCTGTTGTGAATTATGCTGCTATAAACATTGAAATGCCCGTATCCCTATAGTATGCTGATTTTTGTTCTTCCAGGTATATTCCTGAAATATGAGGGATATAATGAGGTACAGGGTCATATGGTGGTTCCATCCCTAGTTTTCTTGAGGAGTTTCCACACTGCTTTACATGGTGATTATACTAATTTTCAGTCTCATCATCAACATTTGAATATCCTATTCCCCTATATTCTCAGTAGCATTTATAATTGTCTGTTCTTGATAATTACCATTCTGAGTGGGGTGAAGTGAAATCCTAGTGTAATTTTGATTTGTATTCCCTGATGCTAAAGATGTTTAATATTTTTTCATATATTTGCTGGCCATTTTTATTTTTTCTTTTGAGAAATGTCTGTTTAGTTCCATGGCCCATTTATTAATTGGATTATTTGTGGGTTTTTGGCATTGAGTTTTTTACATATGTGGATATAAATCCCCTATCTGAGGAGTGGCTGGCAAAGATTTTTTTCCCATTCTGTTAGCTCTCTCTTCACTCTCTTAATCATTTCCTTTGATGGGCAAAACCTTTTTATTTTGATGGCATCTCACTTATTGAGTTTTGGTTTTATTTCTTGAGCTTTAGGAGTCTATTATGTTGTCTTAAGACCCTCTTACTTGTGATATTCTTGTACCTAGATATTTTATGATCCCTTAGTTCAGAAGTTTCCAAAGCTATTCTCCTCCAAGCCTCTTTTAGAAAGAATGATAAAATGATAATGACAATAATTCCATCTCCTGCTCTCTAATGAGACCGATTGATGGGCTAGAGGGAATAAAGATGAGTTGCTTTCTTCCAGACCTGTTTAGCCTCAGCCCCAAATGTCCTATCCTAAAAACAGTTCTGCTTCTTGTTCCTATCATCAACAGCTCTCTGACCTTTCAATCCTAATCTTTAGTCCTATTCTAAATTAAAACCTGGAAAAGTTATCAAAATATAACTCTTGTTTTCCAAATCCAAAGTGCTTCCCCACCAACAACCAGTGATTATTAACATTTCTCTTCTTCAGGTAGCTGCTGCAGCAAGAATTCTCAGTTAGTGGTCAAAATTATCATCATTTCTTCTTTAGTTGTAAACATCATACTCGGTACCTGTTTGAGTGTATATCAAAAAGGTATGTGGAATCAAGGGTATGGAAACTTTTTGTAATTATCTCCTTTACCAAATGCCCAGTCACTGCTAAGACACTTAGCCAAAGGGGAGTGATACTTATTTTAAATAAAGAAACAAGAGACCCTTGGACTAGATGTCACAGGGTTTGGATTCCAACCTCATTGATTTTTACAGGCTTAATGATACAATACAAATTGTTGAGGCTTCTCCTCCTAGAGGAAGAATTTCTTCAATTTAATAGTGTTATTTTTACCCAAACTCAAGCCATCATCATTTTACCTAATGTTACTCTAATTCCTTTTATAATTTTCTCCTAGAAGAAGGAGTATTTCCCTATATCTTAAGGGTTTTAAGTCACAGATTTCTTTCAGATATTGTTTCAAAGCAAAGGACCTCTTCTCAAAATTATCTATTACTACATAAGAATTTTGTTTAATGTCAGGATGTGCTGGACACACAAAACTTATCCTTCTCCTCTTTGGCTCTCTTTGAGAATGAAATTAAAATAGTAATTATGCAAGTCTTGGAACAGTTGAAGCCAACATTTGAAACACACCCTTTATATTACCTTTGTAGGCCCATGGAAATTGTATATACAAGATAATGATCAGTGAGATAAATTAATTTTTTATAATATGTCAGAGTTGTGGTAAAAATCACAATGCAGATGTCATACAGTAGGGCTGGATTCTTCATAGTATTTTTAAATTTTTCTCCAGTGAAATAAAGACACTAATATTCCTTTGAATTGATATAAGACATTTTGTTTATCCATTCATCCTCCAGTGGATTATTGGGTTGCTTCATGTTTTAGCTCTTAATACCAAATGCTACTATGAACATAGGCATACAAATAGCTCTTCTAGATCCTGTTTTCAATATTTTGGGGTATATATACATAAATGAATATTTTGGATCCTATTATTAATCTTTTTTCATAGGAATTGTTATTCTACTAAGTGCTATAATAGCTCCATTTGATGCAGGAAAGTAATTTCTAATAGGCATAGCTATATATACAGTAATGAAACAGATCACTTGATTGTTGGTGCTGGCACTGCCATCACAAAAACAGTTAAATATATTGTGAGCTGTGGAATTCTTCGAATCACCTAGAAAAGACACTTTAAGTAAAGTTTCTGCTCCAGATGAGACTATGACTTGGGGGAATTGTAAGATTTCTTCCATTTCAGAGATTTTGTTCATCTAAGAGTATTCTATTTTACCATATCACTTATAAGGTCCCAGGGCTCTGAGCACTAGAAAAAGCAGATAAAAGCCATCTTTCCTTAAGACTCTGGCCATCAAGAGCAAGTACCATGGTGCTTGAGTAGAATAGGTATTAAACTCTTCCAGCTTTAGCCTTAATGTGATCATCTCTAGGATCATCTGTGTAGCCCAACCTCCTTCTCCCTGACTTCCATAAATTCAGAAAGTACGGAATTTACTTTTCAGTAAAAGTACGGATTTACTTTTCAGTAAATCTACCCTAAATCTTTAATCCAGCACTCCTTACTGAGATACATCCTTCCTAATTCTTGCATCTCTCCCCAGTCCCTGCTTCAGATCCACTATTTGAATTGAATGCTGTCTGGATTGGTGATATGAACATGATCCTGTGTATTCTGATGGTCTTCATCACCCTGAGCATTTCCCTTATTTACTTCAAAGTGAAAGGTAAATGGAATGGGAAATTCATAAAGCATGGTTCCTCCAACTGATGGCTAGATGTTCAGAAGCGTGGACTCTCTGGTCCTTGTGTCTTAAAACTTTTGGAGAAAGGAATGAAGACCTCTGTCCTATATAAGATCTTACGGATTGTATCCTTTTTGAGGTTTCTGGGAGTTCTAACAGTCTTCTACCAGTGTCTCAAAAATCCATTGACAGTCTCAACTCTGATTACACAATTATGACAACTCTCCTAGGTAAATGTGGGAGGCCCAGCATTGTTTCATCCAGTCTCTGAAATTTCTGTATACTGAGTCCTTGAAAGACTCACATGATTTCTTCTTATTTTATCTCCAAGTTAGAATTGAACACTTAAAATCATAGTTTTCTCTTTCAGAAACATGTTAGTGCCCACAGGGGTAAGACCAGAAACATTTTTGAACCTATAAAGGGCATATATCTTTGAAACATTTCCTAACTTGAACAAAAAAATAAATACATAAAACAACCCTGACTCTACTGCACATGTAAATTCTTCTGAAAATGGAAGGAAAGATAGAACTAGTAACCCATGAAGGAAAATTTTAATACTTGATTTTTGTGTCCTACCAAAGTCCTACCAAAATCTTTAAAAGTTCTATTAAAAATATTTACACAGCATACATCAAAGTATATGTCTTTATTATACTCAGCTTTGCCTCTTAAATAAAATACAAATCTATGATGAGTTATTATGCACAATACAGAGAAAATATTTTTGTTTAAGTAAAATAAAAAAGAAAGAAAGAAAAAGAAATGGTCTCCCCTGTTTTCAACAAAAACTGCATCTGCTGGCTTTTGGTTTTCTCTAAGCCACCTGCTGAGAACAGCCAAGTGTTGAGTTTGTTAGTCAAATAGGACAAGCCAAATGACAATCCCAGTCAAAACGTTATTCATTTATCGCAGCATTATAAAAAAAATGGCAAGAAGAAATGTAGTACTGTCTTTCCACTCATTATGGTTTGGATCTAGAATGTCCCCAAAAGCTCATGTGTGGAAAGCATGGTCTCTAATATAGCAAGGTTCAGCTTTTTGGCAGTAATTAAGGCTCTGACATCATCAGTGGATTAATCCCTTTGATGGATTTATGGGTTTATAATTTGGACTACTGGGTGGTAACTGTAGGAGGTGGTCATTAGTGGAAGATGTAGGTTAGTGGGGATATGTCCTTGAGGACTATATCTTGTCCCTGGCTTTCTCTCTCTCTCTCTCTCTTTCTCTCTCTCTATCTATCTATCAATCTCTCTCTCTATCTCTATCTCTTTTCCCCACCCCATAAGCTGAGAAGCTTTCCTTTGCCACACCTCTCCATCATGATGTTCTGCCTTTGGACCTATGCAAGGGAGTTAGCTGACCATAGACTGAATCTCTGAAACCATGGGCCCAAAAATAAATAATCTCTTCCTCCTTTAAGTTGCTCTTTTCAGGTATTTTGATCACAGGGAGGAAAAGTTGATTAACATTGTGCTGTTCATTTTCCCTCCTAGAACAATACTTGAGCAAGGGTCAGGTGATGTGTGGCACAGTTGAGGGAAAGTCTCACTACAAAGGGCTTTTACCATTTATGGATTAGGAGCAGGGACAAGGGTATACAGGTAAGGGCTAGGAATGGAAATGTATTAAATCAGAATGGAGAAGGTCTTACTGAAGAAGTTCCATAAAATATAAGGCCTCAGCAGAGATCATTGAAAATTGTCTCGGCTGAGAACCCCAATAAAGAGGCCTCTAAAAGAATGTTCCTAGACCAATGATTATGACTACCTGAGGGTGAGGAACTGAGTCCTTGACTACAACTGCCTCCAGAAACATCAAGGCTTTTGCTGGCTAACAGCTTTTCCCCTCGAGGGTTGCTAGGCAAATCCTTTGTGATTTCCCATAATGGGACATACAGGATCACACATAGGATTTGGATCAGGGATCAGACTTCTCATTACATGTCAACCTTGCAATCCACCCCCGACACACACACACATTCAGATGAAACAAACACAAGAATAAGTGTATATTTGGAAAGTACAAATTTTTACTCCTTATGAGTTTCTGCCACCAATAAAAACAACCTAGTTATTACATCTGCATTCACAGGGATGGGTTAATGATAAAAAGGAGTAGTGTGGAGCCTATGGCCAATATTTTTTCAGCTCAAGTCATACTTAATTATTGACCCAATGGGGGTAACAGACTCAAAGAGAAGTTTTAGTGTCTGTCACAATGCAAGAGATCAAAAGAACTGAAACAAGTTAAGCCATATGAAGCTGCAAGGTCATTTATTGGTGCTGCTTCTCTGTATCCCACTAAGAACAATAATAGATTCTAGTTGTTAACTCTTGCGCTATGGGTGTCCTATTGAGGAATTTGGAGCCTGCTCCCACAGTATGTAGATCATAACCAACTTTTTCTTCTATCAGATGCYGTGTCTCTGATTTAATATCAAGCTCCTTGATCCCTAAAGACCTAAAAAGAGCATGCTACAGGGACACTGCTACATCGATGTTCATAGCAGCACAATTCACGATAGCAAGATTGTGGAATCAGCCTAGATGCCCTTCAATAGATGAATGGATTAAAAAAATGTGGCATTTATACACAATGGAGTATTACTCTGCATTTAAAAATGACAAAATCATAGAATTTGGAGGGAAATGGATGGCATTAGAGCAGATTATGCTAAGTGAAGCTAGTCAATCTTTAAAAAACAAATACCAAATGATTCCTCTGATATAAGGGGAGGAAACAAGGACAGGGTAGGGACGAAGAGCTTGAGACGAAGATTTTCATTAACAGGGTTGAGAGGTGGGAGGGAAAGGAAACGAGAAGGGGAATCGCATGGAAATGGAAGGCGATCCTCAGGGTTATACAAAATGACATATAAGAGGAAAGGAGGGGTAAGACAAGATAATTCAAATGGAAGAAGTGATTTACAGTAGAAGGGGTAGAGAGAGAAAAGGGGAGGGGAGGGGAGGGGAGGGGGGATAGTAGAGAATAGGACAGACAGCAGAATACATCAGACACTAGAAAGGCAATTTGTCAATCAATGGAAGGGTAACTGATGTGATACAGCAATCTGTATACGGGATAAAATTGGGAGTTCATAACTCATTTGAATCAAACTGTGAAATATGATGTATGAGGAACTATGTAAGGTTTTGAACGACCAACAATAAAAAAATAAATAAATAAATAAAATAAAAAAAAAAAGAAGTAAAATGAAAAAAAAAAAAAAGAATTTTACAAAAGATTCTGAGATTCCCAGTAATGTGACTCCTGGGAATCTGTTCTAAATAACAAACAAACAAACAAACAAACAAACAAAAAACAAACCAAGAGTGTGGCGGGGGAGAAGAGGGTTGAGGGCATAGCCTTTTCAACATTTTTCGTTGAATAAACATTTTTTGTTGGCTAAATGGACTTAAATACCCCAGAATTAGACCATGATAGAACTATTCAACAGTTGTCAATGTTATAAGTGATGGGTATAAAGACTATGTAGCAGTATGAAAAGTGATTATGTAACATTAATGGGAAAAGTAATATCAGATTTTATGTGTAGACATATTAAAAAACAAAATACTAAAAAAAATTTATAAACATGAATGAATGAAAAAAAAAAAGAACAATAATAGAGTTGATATAGCCATTTAAATGTTTTTCCATTTTGCTTTTTTGTTTTTCCTAGAATTCTATGGGGGAAAAAGGTTAAAACAATGCATCTAAACTAGAGACTACACAATTCAATGTACTTAGAGACCAAATCATTGTTTTTCTCACCATTGTTTTTAGGTTCTTCTAATAGGTCTCATATTGGCAATATTAAAGAACTTCATGGTAGTATAATCAAAATTGAAAGTGATCATAATTGACTGCAAATTGAAATACCCTTAGCCGCAAAATTCCAAAATTCTTGCTTAAATAAACATAAAACTCTTCTTCCCAGGTCTGCTACGCAGGGTGAACAGCCCCCCAACTCTGGCCTGGATACTGTATTGAGACTGTGATCATCAGGCGCAGCCTTGACTTGCTGCTGAGCTTCTACTTCCACATCCCCATCACTCTGTTTTTTGGACCTGCATGCAAGTGGTGCTGCCACAAGAATTCTACTGGGTCATATTTAGAAACCTGCTAACTTGGTATGCTAAAGAGTTCAAAGACTCTCTGATATAGAGCACCCAGTATGGTTTAAGTCCTTCATGTTTTGTGAGCTTTTGTTTCAGCTGCCTTTCTTTCCTATTGCAACAACAACCTTCTTCAAAGGAAATTGCAGATGGATCCACATTCTTGTAATCGTCTACTCAGTTCACATCCTGACAACATTAATGCCAATTCTCTCCACATTTCTATTTAGGGATTTCTCCAAAGCCAGTGGTTTCAAAGGACTAGGTTCTGAGACTTTCCATGAATGAATAACCTCTTAGCCATCTATACCCCAACAGTCTCATTCCCCTTATACTTCTGGTTTTCATGTTGAACCCCACTATGAGAAAAAAAGAAAGAAAAAATGAGGGAAACAACCACAGTCCCTGGGAAGGTTTCATGGGGCAATTGCCCTTCGTGACCCAATACAAGCAAAATTACTCTGAATCCATGTCTTCAGTAACATTTGAAACACCAACAACACTGCATAAGAGCAAGATGGTGGCAAGCCACATCAAACCCTTAATCTTCCAAGGTCACTGAGATGAACAGAAAAAATTGATCAGAAGGGGTGGAGGGCAAAGGAGTAGGGGCTGTCATAGGAAAGTCATGCCAAATACTTTACCATGTGCCTAAGTTCCATTGCAGAATTTCTAAAAGCAGGACCAGACCAGAAACTGGGTAAGCTTCCTCAAAATACGGCCTGCTTAACTCACTCTGAGGCATCTGATCCACAGCATATACACATGACTAAATCTTTGACTCACAATTCACTATAGCCAATCAACAATCAAAAAAATAGTGGAGTGTTTCAGGCCATTCAAATTAGAAATTGTGCCTCTTTAATATTCATTCAAAACCATGTTTTCTTGGTCCTACCTCTACCCTTTGGAGAAAAGAAAAAGGAAAATATTATGCTGAAGAGGTTTAAACTTGTTCTCCTTAAGATTCAGCCTCAGCATGATTTGTAAAACAGGTTAAACTGGAAGATGTTTGTTTTTTAAACAGGTCATCCCAAGAGATTTTAAGTCACCTTGTTCACCTTAATTCCAAATCTTAGTCATCCATATTTTTAAAGACCATCCGAGGAAATTCCCTTCACTCTGAAGGCTGGCATCTAAAGACTGTTCTGGAAGTGTGCTCCCTAATGGACAACTTTATCCTTCCTGATACAGTCTGGTCATTCCCATCCTGTTCAGGAGTGGAGATAGCTGGGTGTGACAAGTACAATGTGTACATGTCAGGTCTCTTCATGTTAATTCCATCAGTGTCCTCCAAATCTACGTGAGGCCAACACTAAAGAGGGAAAACACAAAAACAGGTCCCAGTCAACTCAGTTTTTGTCATTTTTGTTCACAAGCTATATTGGTCTGACTGTTGGTACCATCTGACTCAGATGCATCTGGTCCAAATAAAGGTAGCTGCTGACAAAAAAAAACTGCAATATCAGATCAATTTTATTTTTTTGTTTGTTTATTTTGATTTGGTTTTTAGTAGTTGCATTCTCTGCACTTATTCTCTGTACCCTCTCATTGGAAGAGAAATTTGATTATTTCAATTCCATATTTCTCATAGATTTTTTTCAAGTTTCATAAGCCAAAAAGATATTTAGGAAAACTGAAAAAAATGCAAAGACTCTATCTAGGTAACTTCTGATATGTCTTATGATATAAACACCAATTTTATTTTGCAATAGTCTTTCCTAAATAAAACACAGCCATCTAGTTTCTCTCTATTATTAGGTAAGGAAATAGAAAGATTTACATGTTAGGCTACATTTTCCATCTTTCTAGAACCACTTTTATGTGTAAATTTTAATATAGGAGATATTTTCTTATTACCCATAATTATTCAAGAATGCTTTTAAATTTCCAAAAGACTATAGATTATTTTTCATCTTTTCTATTGATATCCAACTGAATTTCAATGTTATCAGAGAATATTGCCTGTATGATACCTATATTAAAGTTTTTGGACTTTCATTATTATATTATCACTGTTTATGTTTTGTTTATATTTGGAAATGAAATGTTTATGATTAGATATTGAAACTCTTTACTTTTTGCATCTTACTTGAAATATTTTTAAATATTATCCAACTATACCAGCTCTTTTGATTTTTATTTGGCGATTAGTTTTCCCAGCCTTTCATATTCAAACCTCCTGTAGTCTTAATTTTTTGTTAGCTCTTACTTAAATATAATACTGATTGAATTTTTTTAAATCCATACTTGGTTTCATTAGAGTTCTTAATTTGTTTGTGATGATCAAGATAATTAGACTTGCTTCTATGTCTTATTTTGTTTTATAGATTTTTTATCCCTTTTTATATTATATTTTTTATTTGTTTTTCTTTGTTTTATATTTGGTATACAGTGAACTTTCCCTGATACACATTTTCTTCTATTTGTTCAACTACTTTAATTCTACCTGAGCTATGATAGAGACCCATTAGACATCTGAGAATTTAAAACCAATTTTTAAATCTCTGAAATTCATCAATCTAATAAAATTTGCTTTAAAAAATGAAGCAATTTCAGAACATTTTAACTTTGTCCATACTTTAGCAACTTTTATGCTATTTTCTCCATTGCATGTGGTTCCTTCTGGCTGATTAACCAACAAAAACTAATATTGATGTTTTTGAAGATTTACAAAATATTTCTTAAATTGGATCCTGCAGATATATTTTGCTTATACATTTTATCAATCTAAATAATTTTAAAATACTTCAATATAATAATGCTTAATATGAGTGCAATTCATATACAGTCTTCTTTGTCATTTTCCTCCATTTTCTAACCCAGGTATTATGATACTTGGCATTTTGTATTTTACAATGTTGTTGTATAAGTTTATCTGTTTTAAAATTTATTTTATGGCATCTTTCTCAACATTCCTTTGTTTTAGCATATAATAATGTGTCATTGTAGTTCCAATTTTTGCTACTATATGTAATGCTGCTAAAAAGATATTCTGTTTTTCTTTGTATACTTTTAAAAAGAGTATACAGATGTGAACCTTCAGAATTAAAGTCTTTTCGAGTTTTGAGCTTTATTTGAACCTCTAGTTTCCTATATCTGTAAGACAGTTAAAACTCACCTTCTTAACTAGATAAACTACAGATCTCCTCAAATACTCCTAACCAACTTATTGGCATCTGATTACCACTCCATTTTTAACTTTATGCTTAATACCAATTGATTTCATCACACCCATGTTTATTGCTACACTGTACATAAGAACTGAGACATGGAATCAACCTAGATTGGCATCAAGAGATAAATATAAAGAAAATGTGCCATATAGTCAAAAATGGAGCATTATCCAGATATAAAAAAGAATCAAATCCCATCATTGATAGAAAAATAGACTGAATTAAAAGACCTTATGTCAAGTGAAATGAGCCAGACATAGAAAGACAAATATCACATGTTCTCTTTCATATGTGAAAGCTAAAAATAGTCAACCTGAATAGAGATTGGGATGGGTGTTGGTGGGGTGGGAAAACAAAGATCAAATTTGATCAGTACATACTGTACACAGATATAGAGTATCATACTGAACCCCATTAATATGTATAATTAATATGTTATAATAAAATTTTAAAATAAAATGTTATTAATAACCACTATTACAATAAATGATTCTGGAGTTGGAAGTTTCTGTTTAGATTTCATCTTCAGGAATTTCACTTATCTCTGATGGAAGAAGGCTTTCTTAAATACAGTATTCCTAAATGTTTCATTTTACTTTTTTTCTGTTGCTATTGCTGTTACAGCTGCTTTCTCTCTCTCTCTCTCTCTCTCTCTCTCTCTCTCTCTCTCTCTGTGTGTGTGTGTGTGTGTGTGTGTGTGTNTCTCTCTCTCTCTCTCTCTCTCTCTCTCTCTCTCTCTCTCTCTGTGTGTGTGTGTGTGTGTGTGTGTGTGTAAGAGAGAGAGAGAGAGAGAGAGAGAGAGAGAGAGAGAATATGAATTATTTGTTAGGGTTGGGGGAATTTTCCATACCACAAGAAATAGAAGTTTCCTTTTATGTTTTTATAGTTTATAAAATTTTTACTCAAAATATAATTCATGCTAATTGTAACAAGTTAAATAACAGAGACTAGTAAACTTTTTCCTTTTCTATATCAATTTAATTTCCATGAGAAAGCAAAAGTTAACAATTTATTGTCCTCTCCTTTTATATCCATGCACATACACATATTTATAGGCATATATAGCATAAAGAGCATTTTTTCTATATAAACACTATCATATTTTAGATATTCAATTTATTTTTGTTTAGTGGTCATATGATGTATTGTCAGTTATATATGCATATACAAATTCACAGTACAGGTGAAATTTAATTTCTATTTAACTGTAATGAGTATCTTAGCTGAGTATAATCCCAAGCAATATGAGGATTTGGATACCTAGAATGCAACAAAGACTAGTAGAAAAACTCTGAAATGTAACCCTGATCAATAGTTTTTCTGGTATCTGAAATTATCTGAGTCAAAAAATCATATAACAATGATAAACCTCAGAGGACTTTAAAAGTCAGCAGAGAAAGGACATCTTAGAGCAGCAGATCCTATTTTTCATGCATAGTTATCAGTTCAGAATGTCATAGGAATAAAATTATCTGGTTGTACTAATCATGAACATAAACAGACTTTCATGTTTTATATCCAATAAACATTCATCAAAAACTGGAATCTGAAAGAAAAAGGAAGATATATCAATTAGAAAACCAAGATTTTCTGAAGGAAATATGTCGAGAAGGTAGAATTTGCTCTCATGTCTCTAAGTTCTTCTTGATCCTTGGATATGGTATTATTTAGAAGTTAGGATCCATTAGGTAGAAAAGTAAAAACCCATAAGTGTGGCAGAAAATGGGGGTTTGAGTAGTTTTTCAGTAAACCTAGATTATGTCTGTCATTTGGAATCACTCCCTGCACAGGGCAGATGTAATGAAAGATGTGGAGAGAGTCCCAGCTATGGCTTTAAGAACTTCTGAGGATACTAAAAGGATAGAAAAGCACTGGCAAACTATAATAGCTAAGACTTTGGTATTATTCACATTTGCATTACTATGATAAAATACCTAAGATAACCACTTTATCTCAACCTTTTAGAGGTTTCAGTTCACAGTTAGTTGGCCATATTGCTTTGAGGACTGTTGAGAGGGAGCACATCATGGCAGGAACATGTGGCAGAGGAAGTTTCTCACTTCAGGAAGGTCAGGAAGTAAATAAAAAAGGAAAAAGAAAGAGACTGAAGTCGCTAAATTTCCTTTTAGGACACAGTCCAATGACCTAACTTCCATTCAGTGAACTCTACCACCTAAAGGTTCCACCAATCTCCCAATTACCTCCACAGTTGGTAACCAAGCTTTTAACATGTGGGCCCCTGGGGGACAATTATCCAAACTATACCAACTCCAAAATCAAATAATTTAACTCAGGGTAACATTTCTTGAATTGTTTAATCTTTTAATTTGATGATCAAAAATGTTTAAATCTTCCAAATGTAATGAACACTTCACAATGTTAATCA